AGCATTTCTCCACCGGACGGCACCGTGCTTGGCCCACCGGAAGAGCTCCAATTCTACGAGGAAGGGAACACGGTCTTCCACGCGACCGTTACCGCTCTCCCTCGTAGAATCAAAGCTCCTCCTTGACGTCCGTTACCTTTTACGAAGAAACGTGCTTTCGCCGAGATGAACACGGTCCATAAGTTCAACTAGCTACTTTAACCTTATTTCATGTAAATATGCAAGCTTGAAGTGATTTTGAGCTCAAATTGCTTACAAATGAAAAAAAACCACAATAAAGAACCATATATATATATATAGTGAACAAAATGAGATAAGACAATGGTGAAAAATGAGAGTATGAGATTGGTAACCTTTACAACCAAGAATCGACGGAGGAATCGAAGAAATCGACGGAGGAATCGAATAATGGATGGAGGAACAATGGAGGGAGCAAGCAAGAACACTAGTGCAGTGAGCTTCAAAATGTGCTGAGCTCGGGCTCGGGGAGGAAGAAGGAGGCGGCGGGATATAAAGGGGACCTTTAGTCCCGGTTGGTGGCTCAAACCGGGACTAAAAGTAACTTTTCAACCCGGGCGCAGCCACGGCCCGAGGAGTAGACCTTTTACTCCCGGTTGGAGCCACCAACCGGGAGTAAAAAGTATACCTTTAGTCCGGTTGGTGGCTCCAACCGGGACTAAAGGTCCTCACCCACCTGTCTGCCGCGATTGCTTGCCGTTAGGGCGGGGACCTTTAGTCCCGGTTGGAGACACCAACCGGGACTAAAGGTATTTCTAGTTCCGGGCGTAAAAAATTCCGGGACTAGAGCCCATTTCGACCGAGGATCAAAAGTATGTTGTCTACCAGTGAGTTGAAGGTATTACTTTACTATATCCCTAATGCCACCCCAATACACAACTACATGGACTTTTTTTTAGTTGCATATGCTTTCGATTCTTAATCGTACGTTGTCATCTCATGTTGTTGCGTACAAGTCATCCTTTGGTGAATGAATATATAGGGGAAAAAAAGAAATAATGCCACTGAGATACTACGCAAGTAGAGTTTGCGCAGAGCACATATATTAATAATAATAACATCTACATACGTACTCTCCATACAAACGGGGAAAAATGTAATGGGCAGATCTCAAAATTCGCACGATCAACGAAATCGGGAGAGAAGAAGAATAAAATCGAGAAAGACAGGTACGTAGCTAACTAACCACAACGGCCACGAACCATGGAAAAATGGTTTGAAACGCACGCAGGTCAACATCAACTTCTGCTGGGCTGGGCCAGCTAATAAGGAAAACAGGACCAGCAACGGAGAACCAGCTCGTGATCGACGCAAGAGGGACGAGCGAAAGCGACTACAAACAGGCATGGAGTTTTTTATTTATGATGTTTCTCTCACTTGAAGCTCTGCCCGTGGAATAAAACAAACCAAGTCTCTGCTGTTGCTTATTATTTAAACATAATATATCTGTATTGTTGTTCTTTTACACTATTACGGCTGTGTGTTATGTCACGCTCTCTTCCCTGGTGACATGGTTTTCAGTAGCCCCCAGAGCACCAGCGCCTGCCAGTAGATAAGCCGCACCGCCGCCGCAGCACTTGGCCTCTCTATCCAAATCCTACGTGGGTGTGATCGCTAACCAGCAGGAATAGTAAAGCATATCCATCGTAGTCATGTAAGTTTAATAAAGATGACTTAAGGCAATTATAGCATATAGATCGGTTGTCTCTTTGTGTTGCAATGGCATCCCACGAGGTTCTCGCAGCTAATCTTCTATAAAAGACTATAAATTTGAGGGGGTCACGTCGTGGGTACTGTTCATCCGGCGTGCCCCTCACATATCGGATCACAATGAACAGTACTCGACCCGCTAAGGAACAGTACCATCTTTTTTTTTTTTAAAACAGGATCAGTGATGCACAGTTCCCACCCGATAATGAACGGTACTTTTTTTTTCCCCCACTTTCTTTTTCCCCCTTTCCTCTCCTTCCCGCGCGAAGCGTGGGGGCGCATGCTAGTATATGTATATACCCATCCATATCTGTCATATGCCTACAAATCTTTAAAGATGGCCTACATTAAGATTCATCCACTACATATTCAAGAAGAATAGCATGCGCGTTGTTGTGGTACTTTCTTAAAAATAAATGTGATATATATATATATATATATATATATATATATATATATATGTGGTATCCTAGGTACTCTCTGTGTATATGTATGAGCTTAGCTTACATGTTATCTTATTGAATGTAGTAATAAAAACTAGTAAGCTAATGGAAGAAAATACAATATAATATTAAATCACATTATAGAAGGACACGACGATGAAGCACATAGCATATGTAGTTGATTGGTATGTTGATAAATTAAAGATTAAAAGTATTGCATATGATAGGGATGATGTTGACATTTTTTTATAATTAATAAGGGATGACATGAATAGCTTTCATGAAAGAATTGCAAGTTATAGTAGAGCACTTAGTGAGAAATGATGTGGACATCTTATATAAAGAGATAAAACATCTAGTGTAGGATTAGTTTTATTAGAGTATATAAAATCATCAAAAGGACCAAGTTGCTCGCATGTGACAGGAAAGCCGAATCACCCTCCGTGCCTAGAACCTTCCCCTGTCCTCCAGTTTTTGGGTCAGCCACTACTGGCACTGTCAATCCCCCTCACTCTCCCTTCCCATCCCTCTCTTCTTTCTCATGTGTTTCACGGTCCGGCGACCGTGGTGTCGATGGCCTCATTGGCTTGCACTAGGGCCAAACTGGCCTCCTTTGCACTGGATCTATAACTCCAATGGTGTTTTCTTCTTGGTCGGTGGCGGGTCAGTGGCTTGGTCACATCTTGCTGCTCATGGCCACCTGCACCTAGCTGGCATCTTCGGCGGCCTACGAGGCTGCTTGATCCAGTGCCTCTAAGGCCGGATTTGGTCCTCACACCTTCCCTCCGTTGTCCTCGAACCTAAACACCTAGGGTTGGTGGCACAACTGCTCTGACTACTGAGAGTGACTTGGAGGTCACTGCTAGGGCATATGCCCCAGCTAGCTACCGGCCGATGATCACCACTAGAACCCTCTCTCCATGGCCAATTAGAGAATAAAGCTTAGGTTTTGTGATTCTGTGTCCATGACCATTAAAGAAGGTGTTGGTGGCCTGTGGGCTATCTGGGATATAATATACTAAAAGCTCAGTGCAGCATGATTACATAGCAGCCTAGAAAACACAATCCAATAGGCATCAGCCGTGTACCCCACATGCGTACTACCCTCGCCTAATTCGGCCGTGCTTCCCAGTCACCTAGTCGACATCCCCTTTCCATCCCTCGAAGCAAACCATAGCATATATAGCAAAGTGACAGTGTCAACGCAGGTCTGAGGGCTCATCCGTAGCTTGGTGGTGAATCGGAGGCAAATTTCTTCGCCGTAAGTGTGCACTGGTGCCACTTCTCTAGGTGGAGCCTAATGAAGTGGGAGGAGGAAGAAGTGTCCAATGTTGCAGTGCCCATGGATTTTTTATATTTTTATTTTATCTTGAGGGGATGTTTCAATTTTGTGGGTTTTTTCCCTTAGGCCTTATAACTCAAAAATCGATAAGAAAAAAGGAAATTAATTGAAGCCGTCTTTTGCTTCCATTCGTAGCTCATAATGCTTTTAATATATTCGATCTAGGTCGAAGCTCGACCCTCCTGTGGCCCGGTGGGAGTAAGGATCTTACATATTGCAGATGTGGAATAAAAAATATTTTACTAATAAAACAAGTTTCATGAAATTTGGGTGTGGATGGAGCTTCTTTTTAGGCTGACCGCATGATTTCTGATGGCAGGATATGTAAGGCAATGTTATATATGTGGTAGTGTATGTAAGCGACTAGAGCACGCTTACCGCACACTTTCGGACATTTTTTCTTCAATAAGAACATGATTTTCCTTATGAAGGGTTCAGCCGAAACTCCATATTTTCCACAAGATAGTATCATCACAGAAAGATTTTTAAGCATAATCATCCCATGAACACAACTGTTTTGTTTTTTAGTGGGAACTGTTTTGTTCTAGCTAATAAAAATACAAATGAAGCTCAAGAGGAAAGATTTTTTTTATCGGGTACAACTTAGACGCACACAACCCACACATTCCACACTCACACCATACACGAGCACGCGTCCGTACACACGCAAAGAAGAGATTGGGAGGTGTCGCTGTCTCCAGTGCGCGGGAAACGTGCAGTACCACCGAACGTGTGCGCGTGCGTATACCCTAAAATTTTGGAGAAATTCCAAAAAAAGGTGCGATCACCAGGGTTTGAACCCTGATAGGTAGCGTCCCGACTAGACAGACCCACCACTAGACCACAGGCCCATTCGCAACAGGAAAGAAATTCTAGCATAATAGCAACATGGGCCTCGGGAGTCCCAGAACAACATTCCGTACATGGTATCCAAACAGGCCGGGATTGGATCGGCTGACAGATCCTGATCCAATGTGAGTGGGCTGCTCTCAGCACATTTGGGCCCAATGGAAATCCAGCCGGCACCCCAGAGGAAGAAGGCCCGGAGCCGCGTCTTCCTTCCAGTTCCAGGCTCCAGCAAAGCGCGGCATCTGCCGCATATCTCCTCTCCCTGTCGCCCGCCGCCGCCGTCCGCTTCAGTCCGACGCCGAACAAGGGGAGGGACAAGTCCGTGCGGCGTGCGCCATGTTTAAGAAGTGAGTACTCTCCTACTCCCCTCCCGCATCTTTCTTCCCTGTAACCCCTTTCGGATTCCCGGGCTCAGTAATTCGATCTGTCGTTGCCGTCCGCTGCGTTCACCGATCTGGTTCTCCGTCGCGATTCGCCGCTGCTAATTACTCTGGCACCACCATGCATAATTCGGGATTGTGTTTCTCTCTGTTCTTTTCGCTGGGATCGGGGATCTGTGGAAAACGACCACCCCTTTGGCCGCTTAGTTTCTCTCTGAAACATGGTAGGGGGCTTTGTGGGAGCAAGATGTGACAGCAATGGTGGTCGGCATGGAGTTCTTGATGCATGAGTTCCGATGTGCTGAAGATGCTCGATGTTGCATCAACTGGCTGACAAAGAGCGTTATGATTCTAGGGTGCGGCTGCGGTTAGATGCTGCCGTTGTGTGGTTGGAGTTTCTGGATGTTGAGGTGTGCCGTGTACGAGTGGGTCATGCTTGTACCACCACCTTAGTGAATATGGTTTATACTTCCTGTCTGCTGTAGAATTATCTTGGTACCTGGCTACCTGCTATTTATCAGAAATTTATTTAGGGTGGTACAGTTGCAGCAGTATATATATAGAGATAAATATGTGCGCATGTGTTTTCTATCTAAGGCATGTTAGCCCAGTTCGCTAAAGCTAAGAATTTTCTGTTCAAGTTATATATACAACTATATAAAACTAAATGGTGGATCTCCATGATTTCTTAAGAGTAGTATTGTAGTAATGGGAAATGACTTGCATGCCACTTCTTTAATTATTTAATGCATAGAGGGACTACTATACATTTATATTTCTGGAGAGCTCTTACTGCACTTGCTTGCACCAGATCCCTCTGGAGTGCATGGCTTCTTCTCCCTTGGTACCGTCATTTGAGCCAGCTAAAGCGTTCATGCTTTGGTTGCAATGCATCTCTTAAGATTCATACCGCCATGTTTCAATATCATAAATGGAGCGAAACTTTTCAAAGGACACTGCACTACAATTGTTTGTCTTTTCAAACCCTTGAACTAAGTAGTTCTTTACTTTTCAAGATGATTTTAAGTGTATTTATTAGTGCAATAGCTTCACTGAATTACATACTTCGTCGAGAATCTTGTCTGCGATATTTTAGATGTGCATTTTGTAATTTCCAAAAGTTATCAACTTTACTGTGAGGGCTTGCCTTGCCTGCTTTGTTTCTGTATCGGTCCTATCATAATTTTGGCAGCCAAAATTTTTTCCAAGATTTTGTTTGCACACCTTTTAGGATTAGTACAGGAATCATTTAGCCTAACCTCTCAATTATGAATTTGGATACTTGTAGTATGTCATGTTTTATAACATCACTGGTGACAAGACTTCAGTTAAATTGTGCATGTACCAATTTAACTGAAGTGTGGTCCCATTAGTGTTTGAGTTTGACCAGGAACAAGAGAATGCTGAATTGCTGTTGTAATGTCATTTTTCTTCTGGATTCTTTATATTTTACCAGAACCATTAATTAATACTATATGATTATACCGAGTAAGTGAAGTAACTGACTTGTGCCTCCTGTGCTTTATACTAAATTTCATTCTGATTGTTGCAAGCATATGACATTGATGATGGTCGCTTGAATGGTGGAAGTTTCCATCAAGAATAATCAGTAGATATGACATTATTATTGGTTGACCCATAAGTAGTGATCTTAAGCTGGAAATTATACACGTAATTTGTTATAGTCTAACATCATGATATAAAACATTGTTGATTACCTTATGACTGTATGTATTATCAGACACAAAATGGTTCATGGACTACAAAGTTATACTCTATGCAAGGCTTTTCTATCTTTTGTTGCCGATCTTTGGCAGTTTTAACACAGACTACTCTTTTAATCTTGTTATTACACCTCCAGGTTCTCTTCAGAAGATATATCTGGGCAGAATCAAGTTAAGGCCTCTGTACAACGGAAGATTCGGCAGAGTATCGCTGATGAGGTTTTGTTATTACAAAGAATCTGCTTGGACCTCTATTTCCTTTTCCTTTCAGTTACATAATCTTCTGCCTAGCTTACCAAAATTAACTACATTGCAGTACCCCAGCCTTGAACCTTTGCTAGATGACTTGCTCCCAAAGAAGTCACCTATGATTGTTGTTAAATGGTTAGTAGTTTTTCTTTCTTGTTCAGCATGCTTGCTAACTATACACTATGTTTTTTTGTACATAATATTGCTTACCTGAAATTGTATTTGACATTTTTTCTTAACTATTCTGCCAAGTGAAGAATAAGTAAATGTACTTGTACTTTTTGGTGAAATAATATTAAATAGATCAAAAGTACTTGTGTGGCCTTTGAAGTGCACTGATAGCAGTTTATTTCTTTATTCCTGCAGCCAAAATCATCTGAATCTTGTAGTGGTGAATAATGTACCTCTATTTTTCAACATCCGTGATGGTCCTTACATGCCAACCCTGCGTCTTCTTCATCAGTGTAATTTTCTTCCAAATTTTCTGGCATGTCATCTATGCACACAAGATGTATAGCATGATGTGTGAAACAAATTTTAGGGATCATCCTTTTTTAGTTTGTCGTACATTTCTGTTTGGGCTCTGTCATTGTTACAATTGATTTGTTGGAGAATATTAACTGGTATGAAAACTGTGCTTGCATTTGATCAGATCCTGATATCATGAAAAAGTTCCAAGTGGATAGAGGTGCTATCAAATTTGTTCTATCTGGTGCAAACATAATGTGTCCTGGGTTGACATCACCTGGTGGTGCCTTGGATGATGAAGTTGAGGAGGAAACACCAGTGGTAAATGGCTTATGCTAAATTTCTAGTTCATATGTTACCGATACTGAATGTTTAATATCTACTTCAGTAGGTAGTCTGCAACAAAAAAAAAATGGTATACCTTAGTGTGCTTCTGCATTCTGCAAATGAAGGGTATAAACTTTTAAACTGTCCATATTGAAATATTCTGCATTGCATCTGTATGGTTGATTTATGCACCATAGTTCATGATAATTTCTTACCAAGCTTGTTCTGCCCTTGAACATGCCTGCTGTGACTCTCATCTTCTCTGTTTAACTATGTTTTTTCCAGGCTATAATGGCTGAAGGCAAACAACACGCACTGGCAATTGGATATACAAAGATGTCAGCAAAAGACATGTAAGTTTCACTCTGAAGTATTGATCAATACTGACACTTCTCAGTCTGGACTCTGGAAGTAATATTCCAAGAGCACTCATGCTCGTTGCCTCACTCTGTTTTTGAGTGTCCAATGTTTGCCTCTAATGGTTTAAAGTGGTTGATCTTCACTTTTGATAGTTTCTTTGTGATTTTAGCTTTCCTTAATATTGCATCTGACATAATCCTAGCTACTAACATGTCTTCTGCTTGGCAATGATCTGATTATTTCTGTAGAAGGACCATTAACAAAGGAATTGGCGTTGACAATATGCACTATCTAAATGATGGCCTATGGAAGGTACTTGGGTTTCCCTGTCTACCTCACTGTCTTCTCAAATTGCAAATAATGAATACTTGGATGATGTTGTAAATAGTACATTGCAATTATGCTCTTGAATTAAGAAGTAAGCCTTAACCGGCAAATGTTTGTGTTGGATTGAGATCATGGAGTAAAGAAAGGGCTGAATGTAATGTATTTAGGTTCTGAGTTCAACCTGGATGATACTGACCACTTTTTCCTTCGACAGATGGAACGGCTCGAATGAGTAGAATCCTCTGTGGGGTTCACAACTTGCGGCAGATCGTATTGAGATATATAAACACCAGCATGACTATCTGCACAGCTGGTATATCGTTTAAAAAGATGAAGTAGTAAGAAGCTTTATTTACTGGAGATAAGTTGAGCTTACTCCGATCCTTTGGCGTTCGAATGCCTGTCAACCTGGATTATGAATGATGTGTTCAGCGCTTTACATGGCAGTGTGTTGGTGCGCTTTTCACAAATTGTTGCACTTTCACCAAAACAATTTACCTTCAAATGGAAGCAAGCGAGGAAGTCCATAACGAGCCACAAGTGATTTGATCTTACAGTTTGTTTTTCGTTTATTTTTTGTTTATTTTTTGTTTATTTTTTGTTTTTTTTTTTTTGCTAACGAGCCACAAGTAATTTGAGCTTACGGTTTGTTTTTCGTAACTATATTTTGCTAACACCCTGCGAGTAGACATGTTGTCGATAAATTTCTTTTCAATGTTAGGTTGTGTTTGGTTTTGGGATGAAACGGATGGAATGGTCTTATCCCCGTTTTCTAGGTTGGGATGGCCCTAGTTTGACAAGATCGTTCTTGTTTTATGTTTTGTTTGAAGGATGGTTCTTGTTTTATGTTTGGTTTGAAGGATGAAGGACAGGATGGAGGACTGTTTTGTGTTAGCAACTATCAAGTGGGGCCAAATGTCACTCTTTTTCTCTCTTCGTCCTTTCATCTCCCAAAGCAGAGCACATCCATGGCGCAGCAGCATCGCTCGGGCTTTCTCATGGGTGCAGCAGCAACGCACCCTTACGACAACTTCAATGACACACCAACTAGCTTATAGCGATTCAACATAGCATTGAGAGAATTCCTTTTTGATACCAGATAGATGACTCGTTCTTTTTTTGGTCCTTAACAAATTTTTGTTCCCTATTTAACATCGAGTTCAACTTTCATTCCTTATATGACACTCCGTTGGATTTTCCATCCGTGAACCGTTAACTGCCATGTGAAAAGATGATTTTTGCCCTTGTGGGCCCCACCACCCTTCTCCCTCCTCTCCTCCCTCTCTCCTCTCCTTCGGCGCCAGATAAGCAAACCGCCGGGGTGGAGAAGGCAAAGCGGTATTATTTGCCCTCACCGTCCGTCCCCCGCCCGTTGATGGCGGAGCCCCCTCCCTCCTCCGACGAGCCGCGCCACCCTCCTCCGCCGAGGAGGAGAAGAGGGTGAGCTGCCGGTAGATCCGGGCGTCGAGGTGCGTCACCGCCGCCGCCGACGGAGAAGAAGAAGAGGCGACAGCCCAAGACAGGGCGACCACGGACCGGAGCCAGCAGCGGGAAGAAGAAGAGGCGACCACGCATGGCAAGCAAAGCATGACGGCGGCAGCTGCAGCGCGTATGCAAGTGAGAGAGGAGGTGGCCAAAGCCGGGAGGCATAGCGGCCGGGCTGCTGGCTCCTCCCGATGACCATACTGCGGCGTGGCGACCGTCTTGGGGTGCAGCTCTAGGGTCCGCCACACGGCAGCGCCGCAGATGCGAGGGGGCTGACAGCAACTTAGGCCGCCCGTGCTAGGGTTGCTTGCTCAAAAGGCGACAGCGTCGAGGCTTCCTTTGCGGCCCCCATCACCCGAGAGGGCCATGCTCACAGGCCCATGCTGTAGCGTGGCGGCTGCCATGTGGGGTGGAGAGGAGAGAGAGAGAGAGAGAGAGAGAGAGAGAGAGAGCGCCTGACGGGGGGGGGAGGCTGGATAGATAGCCATGCATGCCCGTATGCTGCAAGACCGTCGGGGTCCAGACCTTGGGGGCGGCGATCACGAGGGCCCGGCCGCTGCGCCGCTAGATCTGGAGGAAGAGGAGAGAGGGAGGAAGAGGAAGGAAGGAAGGCGTCTTTGCTTGCTCTACGGCCCGCCAGACGGGGAGGGAGGAAGGGAGGAGAGGAGGGAGAAGGGTGGTGGGGCCCACAAGAGCAAAATCATCTTTTCGCATGGCAATTAACGGTTCACGGATGGAAAATCGAACGGAGTGTCGTATAAGGAATGAAAGATGAACTCGATGTCGAATAGGGAACGGAAATTTTTTGAGGGCCAAGAAAGGAACATGTCATTTATCTGATGTCAAATAAGGAATTCTCTCCATAACATTTGGTTAAGTGGAATAGATAGAAAAAGGAAGAAACAGAGAAGCTGGCCCTGTTCTTATTTTCACGCTAGCAAAATACGAGGCAGATGGAGGGCCCGCTCAGTATTCAGTTCCTTATTTTTTGAAAATTCATATATATTCAAACATTAAAAACCAAGTACAAGGATTAGAGAAATAAATCCCCAAATACATAAATTTGCCACCATGATATTGGGCAAACAACCTGAACTACTCCTACAGACTGCACCCACAGAGTAGAGTGTGACAAATTGTATTTGAGTGGGATCTCCAATTTAACATCCCACAAAAAGCATCAGCGGCTCTTCATGAAGCCCCATTGGAAACGCGGTGAATACTATCGCTGGACAATGGTGACCAAGACCTCCAATAGGCTCCCTTGTGCATTTTTTGGCACTAAAAGGTTGAAAGTTGAGTCCTATGTGTAGCAAGCTTCACCGGACTAAAAAACAACCTTTGCAAAGACGATAAACCAAATCTACCCAAGCAAAGATGACAAATCTCATAGAAGTAACCATGTAGTCGATCCCAGGTTGAAGAAAAGCTACGATCTTTATGTAACACATCAAGCACTCTAAAAAACCTAGGATGTCACTAACGTTCGTCCCCCATTTCAGAGTATAAAACTCGACAGCATAATCCCATAGCTTCTGTAGCTCTTTGCGGACATAGGCAAAGGTATTCCAATAGTAGCGCATCAACAAGGACAATATATCTTGTAGTTTTTGCTGGAGTCTCTGCAGTGATGTCGCGTTGCCCCCATTCTTCCATGCTTGTGATATCATATCCGAGAGAAATTATGATGGGTTCCCCACATCATCTCAGATCTAAAGCGTCCCTTGTGACGTTGTTGTGCCCTTCTCTAATTCCACTACAATAAGATATGAATATGGTCTGAGGCAGCCGATGAGAGGTGTTTCATCAAATCTGCAGGGGACATGGCACTCTAATCTGCTAAAGACAACACGATCCATACACACATAAATGTATGATCCACCCGCCACCTTCTTCTCAAAGGTCCAGCTGCGGCCCTCAAAACCCAAGTCATAAAGACCACATACATCAACCATCTCATGAAAAGCCTGCGATTTGTGAGGGACTTCTCTCTGATCGGTGTAGAATTTCATTGAAGTCACCAATGTACACCCGGGTACATGCGGCGATGACTTGATAAATTTCAACAGATCCCATGTCTTATGGGCCTGTTTCGATTGATGCGTCCCAAGCATGAGCGTCGCTAGGCATCGGTCTCGTCCCCGCCTGGGAACGCTGCCTGGGCTAGGCGGCTCCTAGCAGGAGCCAACTAACACACGCCCTATATCTTCGGCACGTTTGAGCCTCCCCGTACACACAAGTTAGTCTCTAAGGTTCATTGCTTTCCTCGGTAATGATGACATCTATATGATACTGCGAGTATTGTAAAAAAACCATTTTTATTTTATTATTCCAAAACATGCCTAGCTCGTCACTACAGCTAGGACTGGTTACAACAAAGGAACTATCAAAACCTAAAGAACCTTTTGACCCCTCCATCTATGTGTTTGTGCACTTGGATCTCGAGCACACATAATACTGATGGAGCAAACCTCTCGAAGTATCATGTGTAGATCTGACTATGAGCCACCTGACCAGGCCCGCTTGAAAAAACCGACCCGTCGTTATGTCGGGTCCAATTTGTAACACCCCAGGTGTTTGTCACTAGTTAAGCAATGGGTTTAAGCTCAACCATGGCATGTTAAGTGGTGATGGAGATGTTAGGTCAAACATATGAAAATGAGCCACCACTTAAACTTGGACCATGCACCATTGCTTACATGTTGCCCTTTCCAAAAAGTATGCTTGAGTAATGTTGGATGTACTTCTTTCATGTGTCTCACATCAATATCCATCTATATTGATTCATGAAAAAGTTTCATAAAGTTTGGAATCAAGAAGTCACATGAAATGATATGTTATAATCTTTCTTGGATTGCTTTATTAGGTGAATGAGAACCTGTGAAACATGACTTGTTATTTTATGTTTTTCCCTGTGTGTACACTTATGATAATGTGTGATTGAGTGCATGTGGTTGATGTTGGTCACTAAAATACCTTAGCTACACTTAGGATGCCTATTGGAACAATGTTCATGTGGATCACTTCACCTAATTAAGTTCCTAAGTGATGATATGTTTAGTTTGACCCAGGATTTACATGTGATCTATATATGAAATGATTGTGAAACCTTAAGAATGCTTCTAACATGTTTAGAATGTCACTAGGAACTACTTTGGTATTCATGACTAAAGCTAGTTTGGTCTCTAAGTCATACCTATAGTGTAAAGTACCAATTTCATGTGGTATGTTTGACCGGAGTTGAATTGCATTTTAGAACCTTTGCATGGATGTGTACCCTAAAACAAAGTTGTAGTACTTGAGGAGTGTAACAAATTTTATTTTTGGGTCATAGGCTAGTTCAGCTCCTAACATGCTTGGATTTGGATCACAAAAGTCCATGTAGTGCTGTTTGAAAACTCTGAAAATATTTCTAAGTCTTTCAACGCTTTTCATTTTTCGTGTAGTGTACTTTGGTGCCTCATACTTTGAAAACCTTTGATTTTTAGACAATGTTGATATTGGCAAAGTTGGAGATCTAGCGTAGCTATACAACTTTTGTTACTACATTTTGTGCCAGAACGCAACGGATTAGGAGTTAATAAAGGAGACATATCGATGTTCAGTCGAACTTTTGAAGTAGAATTGAAAATTTGAACTGTGCTACGTGGCTTCATGGCGGACTGTGTGCAGCAACCGAATGCCGCGTGGCTGAGCTCGCTTGTCGCATGAGCGCCACCTCGCCTCGCTCTCTTCGTCTTGGACAGCCGAGCGCCCTCCCTCCTCCCTCCTGCTCGCTCATTTTCTCCCTTGCTCTCTACTATTTGCACGCGGGGCGCGGCCACGACATGCGTCCGCCATGGTCATCGCCACCGAAGCTCCATGGCCGCCCCGTTTCTCTGCTCCGGCTTTTCCTCAGGCCTAACCAACCCCGCCTACTCCTTCCTCCATTCGCGCCGCACCTCCCAATCGAGTTGTTTCGCCGGCTTTGCCCCTGCAGCTCGTTGCCACCGACGCCGCCGTCACGGCTGCAGCTTGCGTGCGTGGCTGGGCCACTGTAGGCCACTGCGGGCCGTGCTGGAGCCATGCACCGGTGCACACGGGCCTACGTGTGCTTCGCCGCCACTCCTCGCCGCTGGCGAGCCTCCTCCGGCCGGAAACGGCGAGCTCCCACTCCTCTGCTGCTATCCACGTCAACGACTTCGCGCAAGAATTTGAAGAAAGGGAGGGACCTAACTGCATAGTCTGTGACTCATATGAATAGTGTCTTTTGGATCTATTTGTTTTAAATCGGCTGAAACTTTGGAAATTCATAGTAAATTGTAGAAAAATCCAAAAAAAGCAAATGAAGACTTTTTGGAATCCTTGTGAAATTCTCTATGCACTAGATCTATAATATGACCTGTTTTAGTTTAAAGTTTTAGCTGTAAAAATGGATTTGTGCAGTTAGGGTTTGAATGCTAGTCTTACTTGTTTTTTTTATAACTGTAGTTGTTGTGCTCAAATAATTGTAAATTTTTTTTGGAGTGCTACTAAGATTATTCTTGATGTCTGGTAAAAATTTCAGGAGTTTAGGTCTGATGGTTTGCGAGTTATAAAAATAACAAATTGCCTATGTTGCTTTTCCTCTATTCTGAATAGGTCTGCATGATTGAATTAATTGGCTCAGTTAAGTTATGAATCATGACTTGATGAAAATACATGAGTTGTAGTACTTTTCTTAAGCTTTCCAAAAAGTTAAATATCATAATTTTTGGTTAAGTAGATCTTGAGTTATACTTGCTTAAATCTCTGTGGTTGTTTCTGCTCAAACCCAGACAGGGTTTCCTCGTTCTTACTGTGGGACCTTCTTAATAGTAGAATTAGCTTTAGGTGTTTACAACAAAGTTGTTTATAATTTGCTAAGCTTTCTAAAAAGTCTAGAACCACATTTATTGGACATATATAACTCCATTTATAGCTGTTTAAAGTGGCATATCAGTTTCTGTTTATGCTTTGGACAGAGATGCAATTATTGGATTAATTGACCCTTCTAACTGTAGAATCATCTTAATATGAGAATAATAAAGTTGTAGATAACTTCCTAAGCTTCTCAAAAAGTTATGGTTCATTTTGTTGGAGGTCTAGAACTCCAGTTATGCTTCTCTGAAGTTCCTATCAGTTTTTTGTACCACTGCTGTTGGGCTGCATTTGCAGTTTTGCTTGTCCAATTATTTTCGTGGTGTAAATGATGTTTGCTATGGTTGTAGTGAATGCAAAAGTTGTAGCAAATTTCGTAATCTTACTTGTGTTCAAATTGTAAGACCATAGACCTGATAGTTTAGGAGTTACATGGCTTTTAAGTCTTCTGTCAAGTTTTGATTGTATTCGGAGCAGATATGAAAGATGCTAGTGTTTGATCTAGTTAGGATTTGAATCACACCTAGATGATAATAAGAAAGTTGTATATAATTCATGTATCTATCTGCTGTTAAAATTTGGTGTCATTTGGCCAAGTAGTTTGTGAGTTATGCCTGTTTATAGTTGGGTTACAAAATTGATTACTCTCTGTCTTGTTTAGACCAGTTTCTGTAAATGGGTATATTAGACTTAGTTAACTAGAGAATCATGCTAATATGATTAAAGATGAATTGTATAAAATTTCATAAGCTTTCCAGAATGTCTTCTTGCAAGTCAATTGGATTTGTGTAACTCTAGTTATCGCTAAATCTTGTAGCTGATGTTTGCATGTCCAGAAATTGACAGATTCCAATTATAGTTGTTTGCTTGTATATTGCTAAGTGTGGCTCATACCTTTGTTGATGGTTGAGTTAGAGTACCTGAGATCTTGGGAAACTTGTGTCATGCTTGGTGTTGTCGTCTTCTTTGCTATCGTGGCATGATAAAGTGTGCGATATTTAAAGTAAGCAATGTGAAGTGCTTGTGCATGTTAATGTAACCTTGTGCTTGTCTTACTTACTGCATGCGATGCATTGTCTATTGCACTTCCATGTATTCATACACATGCATCTTGCATCTCATTTAGGTACGCTAGATGAACCACGTGAAGGATGTGATGTGGAGTCAAACCCAAAGACGGTGTTTGGTGGATCTATCTCGAAGATGGAAGGACTAAACAAGTGCTAGGACCAGAGATGTCACTAAGTCGGTGCAAGCTAACTGAACTGACTTGTGTCGGATCCCAGGCAAGCCCCGGAGCATTCTAAGTCTCCCAGTAATTTACAAAATATTACTCAAAGTTCTTATGATTGATGCATTAGGTTATAAGAGTTGATTGGAACCACTTGATGCATATAAATTCCTTGTCCAGAAATACCATCTTTAACCCGGTATAGGTCCAGGATCGAGTATATGCTTAGCCCTGCTTAGACCGGTAGAAGTCGGGTGATTTTCTGTCACCTGCGAGATATAGGTGGATACCGGAGCACGGTTGGCTATATTTGCTATCGTGGAACAGAACCATGGGGTAAAAGCAAATCAAGGCCGGGTGGAGTCTATGCGTAGGTTGACTCATGTGATTCCGTCTGTGCCGATTAAGGACCGTACCGTTGTTGGCGCTTCTGACAAGATTGAACGCATGCCTATCACTTAGCTGGCCGAATAACTCGTTCCGACCGCGAAGCCGAGTAGCTCAACTCAGGCCGGGCCCCGTTCTGTTGTGCGCTCCTTGCGGGGGGCGATCAGACTGAGCCCAAGGGCAGGCTAGGCCTGAACGTCCTGGCATTTGGTGTCCCAGATTGTGCGGCGCGGTACGGACCCACGAAATGTGTACCTGAGTTGTACCAAAGGTGACCTAAGACGACTAATGATCTGGTCTGCCGGGTTTGTGTTAGGAATAAATTCCCAGCTGGTTGAAATCGATTCGAATCGCCGTCTCTCCCGGATAGTGAAAAACTTGGCTAGTCCCAACATCGTAGTAATTGTATTATAGAATGTGATGGTTCGGATAAACATGGAATTACTACACCTGCTATGGTTACTATTGTATGCTCTAAAAAGATATACCACATGTTTGGCACATGATAGTTGCTAATATAGAGATGAATAGTTATAATTAACTTGATAAAGGAATCATAATTGTACAACTAAGTCAATCGCTTTTATGCAAAATGTTGTCAAGCTACCTCCACTTATAAAGCCTTGCATACTCCTTGGAGTCAATTTTATTTCTGGTTTATGACGGGTAAGTCTAGCTGAGTACATTCGAGTATTCAGGGTTTATCCCACCATGTTGCAGGTGAGATTTTGGCCTGCTGAAGATGGTGGCTAACCACCGGTGGGCTCGGTGACTCTATATTCACTTCTCATCTACATGCTTTTGTCTGAGGATGTCACTTATGCTAGCAATGTATTTGGAACTCATATTAATGAAATCCTTCGAAAGCAATGTTGTTTTTACTAATCGGTTTTGAAACACAAACTTGTACTATTAATTGTGACTCATTGTAATATTATTTCCTCTGCCACTCTATGTATGTGATGTGTATTTGCTTAATCACACGATCTTGATTGTGATGTTGATTTACCGAGGTCCTGCGTGACACTCGGCGGACTACCGGGTTTATATAAGTGAAAGTATGCGCGTGTCAACGTGTTAGCGGGGACAGCCGTACTTGATCTTGTATAAATTGGGCGGTTCTGTCACACAATTCAGGTTATGATTTTCGATCCCATAACCCGACCCATAATAGAAAAAACCGGAAAAAATCTGATATATAGCTTGACCCAACGCAATTCGTTTTGCATTTGGTCAAACTCAGGCAAAAAAAATTCGATATGATATTTTTTCTAGGTCCAATCCAAATTCGTTCTAACCCGACATTCGGTCAGATTCAACCATCAGTATTTGCTAAGGGTTCATTTGGATGAGCTAGAGCTAGTTACTAGTTAGGCTAAAATTTAGCTTAAATTAGCTAAGACTAATTAGCTAGTTGGTTAACAACTAGTTGAAAGCTTAGCTAAACAATTAGTTCACTTATTTGAATGGACCGAGGCTAATTTTAGTTAGCTCACCATTAGCCCCCTGTTCTGCTGCACGCTTCAGCAGTACTTTTCAGTGGACCCATAGTGTTTTTCTCTCACAGCATTTCAGTATAAGCCAAGTTTCAACGAAAAATTTCAATAGCTCTCTCTGCTCGGTATACTTGTAAGTTGTAATGGGAATTGATGCATCAAAGGTCATGAACTTTGGATCGGATAGGTAGATCAGACAAGGCCTTATTTAAATCGAGGGTCTAAAGTTTTGGGGTGTCACATCGGGTATCATATGAGGGTGTCGCATGAAGTGTTCGGATACTAATAAAAAAACAAATTACAGAATCGTCAGTAACCTGTGAGACGAATTTATTTATTCTAATTAATCCGTCATTAGCACATGTGTTATTGTGGCACCACATTGTCAAATTATAGATTAATTAGGCTTAAAATATTCATCTTATAAATTAGTCGTATATTATGTAATTAGTTATTTTTTAATCTATTTAGAAAAGTGCCAATACGCTGACGCCGCCAGCTCAGCTCGTGTTCGACCCACGCTTTTCACGAAGGATGTGCAGGAAGGCAGGAGCAGCAGCTGATAAGGTAGGCAGAGTCCCACTCACTCTGCTCGCACTTGCAGTGTCCCGCTCCCGCACTCCTCTTCCTTCCACGCAACTGCCACCGGCCACCGTCTTTTCTCGTCGTACACAGCGCACGCAACTGCCACCGGCCACCGCGCCAACCAATCGAAAACTCCACCGCGCGCAGTTCAAGACCGCCGCCACCCACCAGCAGCGCTTCAGCGGGAGACGTGACGAGTGACGACACGAAGCCTCTCCTCCCCACGCCGCCCACATGGCCTGGGCACGCCTTGCCTCCCGCTCCCGTCTGCGCCCCGCGGCCTCCGCCGTCGGCCGACCTCCACACGCCTCACCGCCGGCTCCGCCTCCGTCCCCGCCTACCACAACACGCACGGTACCTGCGGCCACTTCCGCGCCACCGCTCCGGCGTCTCCTCCTCCTTCCACGGTACGGGTTTGCTGCCGCCGCGTCCTCGGCGTCGACCGCGCGGCTGCTCGGTGCCGTAAGTCCGCGACCCCCCGACCTCACTCCTTAGCCCAGCCCTCACTTTCACTTCGGTTTTGATCTTGGACTTGGGTTTGGAACCGTGCAGCGGTGGCCCCAGGGGCACGGTAGGAGGTGCTTCGCGAGCGAGGCCTCCGCGGCGCAGGCGCCGCCGGGGGAGGCCTCTGAGCTGGTGGAGGTGCCACTGGCGCAGACTGGGGAAGGCATCGCCGAGTGCGAGCTGCTGCGCTGGTTCGTCGCCGAGGTGAGGGCGAGGCTGCATACAGGTTCAATTGTCCCGTTCTGCTGCTCAGAATTGTGCTCCGGGGATTTGGGTCATAAAATTTCGTTTGTTAACAGAGATATTGTTTTGTTCCCGTGTTGTCTTTGCAACTTAGTGCACGTTCATGGGTACTGTACATAGTTGAACAATTTGATTGTAACCAGACAACAAGACATATCAATTGGGTTCAGTAGCAGTTCAGCTTACCTTTTTCCCTCACGATATCAATTGGTGGGATAAATACTGTAACTGCTGCCTAAATAGCTAACCAAAATACTGTAGGAAAGTCAAACAGTTTTGCGATGGAATTAGAAAAAAGAGACCAGTCTCTCGGGCTTTTCAATATGGAGAAACCTATAAACAGCCGGTTTATTGGATAGAGTGTGTGCTAACGAGGGCCCCTTTAAACCCAGCCTAAAATTTGTCTCCATTGGGAGTGGAATCCAGGACCTAGAGTGCTACGGTTTTTTCTGTCAAACACGCAGAAGAGCTGCTTATCATTTCATTGAAAACACAGGGGAAGAAATTCCTACAACACTCACACTCACAGACCCACAGCATGACAGCGGTCTAGAAGACTAGATTATGCTGAAAAGAACTGAAAACAAAACGACCAGAACAACCACACTATTGCCCTGAAACCCCTCCCAAAAGAGACCTCGCAAGAAGCATCCGGAGGCCCTTTTCTCCAGCCGAGAACCACAGAATGCAATCATAAGTGACAGCTCGCAACACTGTTGTGATGCTTGGATTAGAGCCATTCGCATCGTAGATTCACAAGTTCATGTGATTCAAATAAGAGGCTAATGCGCTGCCCCTGTCATGTACAGGGCCGGTTGCTTCCCAGCTGATTTTCTTTTGGCGTGCTGAGTTTTGTACCATTTTCACAGATTATACATGATTGAACTGTAAGGTTCCCTTTTTCTTAGAGGGATCTTTGTTATTGTGTTAGAAGGCTCATGAAATCATTGCTTGAACATAGGTGATCAAAAAGAGGTATTACAAAGAAATGTGGATATGGCTGAAAAAAAATCTTCAAAAAACTAGAAAGCTATTGTTGCTAACAATTTGAACTTTGAAGACTATTCTGGGAGTGAGATCTCGATCACAAATTAATCATGCATATACTGTGTTTTTAGCTTTCTTTGTTCACTCATCTAGATTTTTATAATTCCTGACTTGCATCAATCTCTATGTAACTGCAGTTAAATTTGCTGAGTTGCCCATTTTTGCAGGGTGACCAAGTAGATGAATTCCAGCCACTCTGTGAAGTACAGAGTGACAAAGCAACTATTGAGATAACAAGTCGTTTCAAGGGAAAAGTACATCAGATTCACTTTGGCCCTGGTGACATAGTCAAGGTAGTTATTAGATCGATTTTGTCAAAGTTACTTCTCGAAATTATGTGAATAAACTTGATGGCATGTTGTACAATTTTTAATTGTGTTCTGTGGTGATTCTTGCAGTATCAACAGATCGTGTAACTCCCTACTTTGGTTAAACTTATTTTGCTGCAAGTTACATAACTCAATGGACTCTCTCCAGTGAGCAATACAAATACTTGTTGACTTTTCAACATCTTCAGTGTGCAACTTTGGCTACTATTCTCCATTAGAATATAGTTATTATATCTAATAAAAGCATGAGATTATGAACACCCTTTTCAAGAAAAATCTACACATGATTTTTATGTTTCCTAACTAAATATACTGAAAACTATGGTGGTTAAAGTTTCAAAAGTTTGACTGGATCTTGGTCAAAGTGACAAGTATTTGTTATTGGAGGGAGTATTTCCGCTAACTTATTTTTCCCAACAACTTACCTATGTCAATTTATACTTCTTAGGTTGGTGAAACTTTACTGAAAATGATTGTGGGTGACAGCCAAATTGTTTCCCCAGATAATATAGTTCCATCCGCTGATAAGTCCCTTGGAGTTTCCTTAAGTGAAGGAAATGTTCCTAGTGGAACTCTCTCTACACCAGCTGTTAGGCATCTAGCAAAGCAGTATGGGATCAACATAAATGAAATCGTTGGAACTGGGAAAGATGGTAGGGTTTTGAAAGAAGATGTGTTGAATTATGCTGTCAGCAAAGGTGTTCGCAAAGAACAATTGTCAGCTTTGGAAGGGAACATTGGTCAAGTTGAGTTACTGGAGGAAGGGAAATCATTACTCCATGAGCACTTGTATGAAGATAAGAAAATCCTTCTCAGGTACTGTAAAAGTTTTCAAGATGTCTACTTTGTAATGATAGGTCATATGCATGGTTGCTCAGTGTATATGTGATTTTAAGCTGATCTTTCCTTTCTGCAGGGGATACCAGAGATCAATGGTCAAATCAATGAGCCTGGCTGCAAAAGTTCCACATTTTCATTATCTCGAGGAAATAAACTGTGATTCTCTTGTACAACTAAAGACCACATTTCAAAATGAGAACAAGGATCATACTATCAAGCACACTTTCCTTCCGTTCCTCATAAAATCACTTTCTATGGCACTGAGTAAATACCCTATGTTGAACAGCTCTTTCATCGAGGAAACTAACGAAGTTGTGTTCAAAGGTATGCAATCTTTGAATTTTTCATTTCGTTCTTGTTTCCTTTCATCTCAGAAAAGGATACAGAAAACAGTTGAACTGATGACTCAGATGCAGAACTTCAGAAATCTCCCATCAGAAAATTGTAATCTACATTTCCCTATTTACCCATTCAACTGCTACTTTACTCTGTAAACATGTACACTTCTTTTTCTCAATGCTTGCCCTTCTCATCTTCAAACTACCACCAAGAAGTCCACTTATTGTGGCAGGAAGGTTTAAGGAGTAGCATAGCATATAGTCTGGTGTTTGCTTCTTGCAATAACACAACTTAATTGTTTCGTGCAACAATTTCAACATGAATGACAAGGGGTCATGTTCATATGGTAGGAATACAGAAGTGACCAGTAGTTCTATTTACAGGATCGTGGTTTTTGCACTTATGACAATACATCATGTGATTTAAAATTCAAGTATGAATGATACTCTGATTTTCCTTTCCATATTACAGTATTCCACCATGCTAAGACACCATTTTGACTGTATCCAATGCATTATTTTGTGGTGAAGGTGATGAAAAATAGTTTTTTTTTTAAAAAAAATTCTAGGGTCCCACAACATTGGGGTGGCGATGGCTACAGCACATGGATTAGTCGTGCCAAACATCAAGAAAGTGCAGTCCCTATCAATATTGGAGGTTAGTAGCAACTTCTTTTTTCTCCTGGAATCCATGATAATTTTGTTGCTAGTTCCTAAAGGTTGGAACAATGAACTACAATAAGTTTGGATAGTTTCAGAAGTTATTTCTTTCTTCTGCAGAAATGAAAATAAATTATTGTACTCAAGCTTTGGAGATAAATAATTAATCTTCTAGCCAAACCTCTGAAGAATGCTTCCGTTCAGATAACCCTCATTCAGCTAGTTAGTCATTTGCATAAGCTGGCTGTAAACTTAAAGCCCGCTTCTGTTCTCTTTCCTCCCCTCTCTCCTCTACCTCAGCATAAAGGCCACTTACAACCTTTTACTATACTTGCTAGTCATTTGCACAATAACTATGCAATCGTGCATGCAACCTAGTAAATATGATACTTATGTATTGAGATCAGAGAATTTGAAGACTGTCCAGTGAGACCTTCAGCAGTCATGGTTGTTGTGTGCCTCTTCTGCCTAATATTCTGATTATCTTGACCATCATTGCACCAGATCACGAAGGAATTGGCGCGATTGCATGAGATGGCATCGCACAACAGGCTAAGCGCTGCAGATATTGAAGGTGGCACTATAACACTTAGCAACATAGGTGCCATTGGTGGCAAGTTTGGCTCTCCACTTCTGAACCTACCTGAAGTTGCCATCATTGCCCTTGGGCGGATTCAAAAACTTCCTCGCTTTGATGATGACGAAAACGTTTACCCTTCATCCATAATCAATGTATGCCTGTTACAATACATGTTTCACTAAAACTAAGCCTGCACTGCTGTGTTTCACTAATTTCATCCCTCAACCTATGGCGTACAGGTTACTCTTGGAGCCGATCACCGAGTGGTTGACGGGGCCACGGTTGCAAGATTCTGTAACGAGTGGAAGAGCCTCGTGGAGAAGCCAGAGCTGCTCTTGTTGCATATGCGATGATCCAGTAAGATACTAGCCTACTACGACAGATCGCCCAAAGCCCCAAACCTTGTAAAGATGAGCTGAAACAGAGGCGTTCCGGTCTCACAATGAAATCCATGTAGTTCAAATAAATAATCAACGTGGCTTCTCTGCCTGCAAACAGTGGAAATAAAGCGGAGAGTTATTTTAGAAAGTCCTAACCAATGAGTTTGCCCTGTCTCAGAAACCTTTATGTTTTTCTTTGCTGAAATCCATCTGACCATCTATAAAGATATTCTTGCTGGAAGCAAATACAACCTCCGTCTATCAATCTAAGATGTATTTTTATTTAAAGATTGGACGTTTTGAACAACAATTAGTGAAACTAATCCGTTAACCTGTTTGCTTGCATAATTAGTACATGGGCAATAAAACTCATCAAGTGACTAATTTATGATATACAGTGTACCGATGCTTGTATTAACTACCTTTCCTTGCAATATTTCTCTACTGAATGAGATTATTGTGCAGTCATTTTTCTTGGTTTTCCTCTTGTGTTCATGATATTTGTGTACTCTTTCTTATATAGTTTGTCTCTGAACTTCATCATGCAACTGAGTAACCTAAACTAACGTTTAGATGAAAAATATAGAATGATGCAAGACGCAGGTGGCTATTCTAGATGTAGGTATTGGGGTATTTGGATTCTGTTTTTGTAACGGCCCTGCTGGAAATTTAGAAGCAGATATTATGAGTACATTGGGTTAATTTTTTTTTCCTGAGGATTGTGTGCTATTTGGAAGCAGCTGTTAAAGATACTTTGGGTAAGTGTCTTTGTAATGCCGGAGCGTGTAATTTAGAAATAGATGTTAAAGATCTTAGGAATACCTTTTGTAATGGCAATGTTGTGCGAGTTAGAAACATATTAGATGCAATGGCTATTGTTGTCAACGACCATTTTAGAGTCCACCAAAATGGTGCTCGAATACTGGTTTCTTGTGAGATTGTTTAAGATTTCTCTCTTTTTTCTAAGGGCATGTACAATAGAAAATGCTTAACATGAGTGATTAAAGTGAGAGGACCGTGCTTATTTGTGCCATACTGGCATGACCCGACGTGGCTCGCGTGTCTAGAGGGCACGACCCAAAGTGGCACGAAGCACGAGAGGATCGTGATGGCACGACGTATTAGGATTATTGTATAGCTAGTGTATTGTCTATTTATAGCTAGCGTATTGTACGCACTATATTTGTACATGGTTGTCGGTGTTTCGAATAAACACCAACTAGTAAATTTATATTTATTGCGCGTTAGGTTCGGATGGTGTACTAAAGGACACAAGGTTTATACTGGTTCGGGCAGAACGTCCATACGTCCAGTTTATTGCTGCTCGTGTTATTAATACCAAAAAAGATTCGTAGTAGGGGGTATAAACGGTCGAGAGAGAGACATGTCCCAAGTCTCTGATGAAAAGGTCGAAATGATGCCAAGAGCTCGGTTGCTGCTTGGCTGTATGTTGTCTGTGGAATTGATCCGTCGTCTTCGTGGGGTGTCCTGCCCTCCCTTTTATAGACAAGGGGGGGAGCAGGGGTTACAGATGGGAAAAAGGGAAAAAACAAAGGTAGAGAAGGTCATTCGAGGGTGTCGGGTCTTTCTTTTCCCCTGAGCCTGCCCTGCTGACATGGCAGACCACGCCAGGGATAGCATGTTTCGCCGATCCTGATAGGGTCGGGCTCTGACTTCGTTTCAGCGAGTGGTCATGTCCCATCCTCCCCCGGCGGACGGTGCGGTGTGTCAGGGCGCCGAGCCATGACTATGCGGGGAGTAGACGGAGAAATGACTATACACTGTTACTGTAGATGATGTGAGTTCTTCCTTGGATTGTAATGGTTGTCGTATGCTTGTGTTAGGATCCACGCCCGAGGGCTGATGGCGGCGCCTACAACACTATAGGACAAAAGTCGGCGCCTACAACACTATTCGGGCTCTGCCATGCCTGGGAGGGCTTTAAAGCGCCCGTCCCATCGTATCCTGATGGTACCTTCTCGCAGGTGCGCAAGGCATGGTCCTTGGAGCTACGGTTGACCTGAGTGTCCTGTCTTACCTCCTGCTCGTCATCATGAAGGAGCGGGGTGCACTCGTCGGGCGAGGCGAGCCTGCCCTCAGCCGTCGGGCGAGGCGGAGCCAGCCCTCAGACGTCGGGCGAGGCAGAGCCAGCCCTCAGACGTCGAGCGAGCAGAGCCAGCCCTCAGCCATTGGGTGAGGTGGAGCCAGCCCTCAGCCGTCGGGCGAGGCGTGAGTCTAGCCCTCGGGGGTCGGGCGAGGTGGAACAAATCTTCCGTCGTTCGGGCAAGAAGTGTAGTAGCGTTCTTGTCTGGCCGGAAGCGTCATCGTTCGATGGTTATTAGTTCCACCTCATTGGGTACCCCGGTATTAGGTCCCCGACAGTAGCCCCTAAGCCCCCGGGTGATTCGGATGGAATCATCCGGGGGTGATTTGACTTGTCAGAGGGTGCGCTCGAGCGCACCCGACGGGTGTAGTCCCCAAGCCCCCGAGTGATTCGGGTAGAATCGCTCGGGGGGTATTTCGATTCGCCAGAGGGTGCCCACGATCGCACCCGTCGGGTGTAGCCCCCGAGCCCCCGGGTGATTCGGACAGAATCGCCCGGGGGTATTTCGATTCGCCAGAGGGCGCGCTCGCGCGCACCCATCGGGTGTAGTCTCCGGGTGTTTCGGATAGAATCGCCCGGGGGGTAATTTTGGACCCTTTGCGGGTATGGCTGTGAGATTTGGTTTTTGTCAACTAGGACAGTTTAAAGGGAACCCTGGTATCCCGTTCGTGGGGATTCGTCCAAGGCTAGCCCGGTTGAGGCTTGTTTGCGGATCGAGACTCCTTTGAGGTTCGTGCGCCTGAGTTTTGGCCGTTCGCGAGCTCATCCCCTGTTGGGACGATCGTCGAGACTGTTGGGCTAGCCCTTGAACTCCTGGGCCCAGGTGGGCCAAAGAAAAGCTTTTTGACCCGTATCCCCTCTGTGGGAAAAGAGTCCTGGTCTGCTCGGGAAGGCGAAACGTTCGGCGCGATTTTGGTGGGAAAGGATAGGGATCGCGGGCGCATATCCCATGACGTGATGTGGTGGTGCATCGTGGCAGGCTCAGAGACCTAGGCGGTTGGTTGCTCTTCTCGCATCTATTGCCCCCATAAAACCAAGGGCTTCGCCCCCAGGGTTTTGTACTTTATCTCCTCGCCTTTGCATCTGTAACCTCCGCCGCTAATCGCCTGAGCCTCCCGCATCCGTATCGTAGCCGCCATTAGGCTCGCATCCGCATCGCCGCTGTCATCAAGCTCGCATCCACCCCCTCCCAATCGTTCAATGGATCCGTGGTGCAGATCTGACATCACCCCTCAGCGCCTGGAGGGCCTCGTTCATCATGGCCTCCTTTGCCCGCTGACCGCCGCCCTAAGGAGTGGTGGCTGCCCGGTAATGAGGATGAGCCATTGCCGCCCGAAGGGTATGTCGTGTCCTTCGCTCACTTCCATGAGCGGGGATTCGCCATACCTACCCACAAGTTCCTTCATGGGCTGTTGGATTACTACAAGGTGGAGTTGTAGCACCTTACACCCAATGGGGTCCAACACATTGCAGCGTTCGTCGCCCTGTGTGAGGGGGTTCCTGGGGATTAGTCCCCACTTTGACCTTTGGCGGTATCTCTTCGCCGTCAACCTTTTGAAGAAGCGGGTCGGGAAGCAAGATCTGAGCGTGCCGATGGGATGCGCCGACATTCATCTCCGCAACAACCGGGTGTACGAATACCCATTGATGCGTCTGTCCACCTCCAACAAGGGGTGGCATTCGCAATGGTTTTACGTCAAGAACGACGCTGTGGCCCCCTTGCCGGCTTTCTCCGGGCACATCATCGAAGAGGTCCCGGGGTCGTGGATGTGGGGTGTCCCGAACAAAGACAAGAAGAGGATCAAGGACCATCTCGTTGCCCTCCAAATTCTGAAGGAAAGGGGCGTAAAGGGATCGGGGATCATCAGCGCCTACCATACGCGGAGGGTGGCGCCACTGATGAGCCGCGCACTTCCCCTGTACCTGATGGGGCCCGGAGCGTCGCTTGAAGGGACGACGCTTGTCGACGAGGTGCTCCCCCCTCTGAAGTGGCGCAGCGCATCAAGGAGGAGATGGAGCCTTTGAAGGACAACGCCGGCATTGTCCTTGATTTTGTGTATCCGGTGCCGGGGCATCCCCCAATGTGGCCAGAACCGGGGTTCATCGACTTCGTAAGCTCTATTTTCCCGTGCCTCCTTTTTACTTGAATTCTCAGCCCCTTGATGCTAACCTTGGGATAGCAGGACCAGCCAAAGAGACTCGTCTTTGGGGATAGCCTGGCTCCACTGTCGAAGGACCGGATCGTGGCGATGGTGAATCGCACCGTGGCCGAGTGGGATAGGAAGACGAGGGAGCTCAAGAGGAAGAAGATGCTATGGAAGCAGCAAGCATGGGAGCGAGGAGAGGAGACAGGCAGCGACGACGATGACGACAACGAGGAGTTTGACGAGGTAGTTGTCGCTGTGGAGTGGGATGTCCTGGAGGGTGAGGATACGCTGACAGGTATCCACTTGTCCATGTAGAGACCCTTCCCGTTCCATGCGGGGGAAGTGAGTCCACGAGGCCAACGGAGATGGGCCAAACCATCGGTCCATCCTTAGGACCAGTGGGAGCGGGCGGATCAGCCGCCGCGCCCGGGGTGCCGGTGGAGGGGGTGGCTCCATTGCCGCGCCCCATGAGCTGATAGGGGTGGGCGGATCTACCGTCGTGCCTGAGGTGCTGACAGAGAGGGGTGGCTCCGCCGCCGTGCCCTCGGAGGCAAGGGAGATGAGCCCCTCTGCCCGGGAGTAGGGGGCAGGCTTGAAACGGTCCCGCCTAGACGAGTTGGAGCAGGAAACCGGGGTTTGTCTCCAAAACGTTCCTACCGCCCAACAACGCCAGCATAAGTCACCGATTCCTCTTTTTTCTATTTTTCTGTGTGACCTATGCC